AAAAAAAAAAAAAAAATAGCCAGGCGTTGTAGCTGGTGCCTGTAGTCCTAGCTACTTGGGAGGCTGAGGCAAGAAAATTGCTTAAGCCCAAGAATTAGAGGTTGCTGTGAGCTGTGATGCCATAGCACTCTACCAAGGGTGAAACTCTGTCTAAAAAAAAAAGAAAAGTAGACACTTCCCTAGGATTTGGAAAGAACCCATAGGATGTCATCCTCACCAAACATCTTTACCAAATGCTATCCTTAGAAAATTTCCAGACATTAGGAAAAAAAAATCAGTCTATATTAGAGCAGGAGGATAAAGAATTATGGGAATGAGGGAATAAAAGCCAGGGGGAGCATTGGTAAATTATAGATTATCTGACATTCATGACCATTTCCAAAAATAATACTGATAAGGCACATACTTGACAGTGCTGATGATATATTTGGCTAGACACACAGAAAATGAATCAAAAGGAAAGCAAAGCAATTATGAACTCTGGGAAAAACAAAAAGTTATACAAAAAGAAAGAAAAGGCAGTGCATTCAAATTCATAGAAAATTAGGAAAAAGAAAACTAAGATATTATTAACTCTTAAGGCAAACAAGAAGTTTCATAAGAAAGGACATCATAAGATAATACTTGTTTCTGCTGTGGATAATATTTACATAATCATCGTAATATAAATACTGATAATTAAAATAACTAAAAATTGTGATTTAACTATTTTGGGGAAATGAGAGGAAAGGGAAATGGTGTTTGAAGTAACAAAGTTAAATTCATAGTATCATTACAGGAACCCAATGTCTAACATTAATCAATTAAGAAAGAAAGTGACTAAGAAGAAATACACGGGTAATCATTAGGGGGAAAGAACTAGAGCAGCGGTTCTCAACCTGTGGGTCGAGAACCAGAGGAACCATATTAAAGGGCCGCAGCATCAGGAAGGTTGAGAATCACTGATCTAGAGGAACTAAAAGTTTTTGATAGTGGAAGGCAAATCAAGGGACAGAGAAGGCTGCCATTTTAGTTTCAAACATTTTTAACCTAACTTTTTCTGTAACTATTTTACTACTGTAATAAAACTTAAAATTAATTCAAAATGTAAAAATAAAAGTAATTTAAATATACTCAAATATGTTAAATAAAAATTTAGAAGTGAAAACTAAAATTTTAAAATATTTAAATGAAATTTCTAATTGACTGTATGTTTGGACATCAGAAGCCAATCCAGGTTCCATAAAGGTATAAATTTACATAATTTAGGAGTAGAAGGAAGGCACTTATTTAAAAAACAAAGAATATATAATTACAAATATAAAATTAGGTGAAAATATGTAATTATAAACACAAAATTAAGTAGAAAAGTGAGTATCTCTTTTTTTTTTAGAATGTGAAAAAGATCATCACAATTACTGGAATCTTGGAGAGTTAAATCCATCTCTTGTAGATCTCTTGAGATTATTGACTAGAAACGCTTATAGAAATGTTTGCTGGTATGTGAAAACACCACACTTTACCCCATGATTGCATTAATGTACACAGCTATGATTTAATAAAAAAAAAAAAATCTTAAAAAAAAGAAATGTTTGCTGATTGCAACCTGGCCTCCTCTCCCCACTCCACAGCTCCTACCAGTGAGGGACCCTGACGCCAAAGCTTCACTGGCTCTGGCTTCATAATAAATCTGCTTCTGGGTCCCCTGTGATAAAACATTATGTATTTCAGCCTGTGTGTACACAGAATTAAGCTGAACTACAATTACCCTGATCCTCTTGCAGGGAAGCAGCCAGAAAGGAAAGAAAACAGAAGACTAAGACCTGGGCTTCCATCCAAGCTCCGCCACCTTAAGCTGTCTCCTACATTCTCAGGGGTCTATTTCTACAAATCGAAGAGATAATCTCTAACTCCTAACTCTAAAAGGATTTTTATAAACAACTACTCCAAAAGTAAAAATAAATTTTAAAATCAACTTTTCTATTGGCTGTACAGGGTAGCCAAAGTGGAATTGTGAAAACGAAACAGTAACAAAGGGAGTTTTTCATTCTTCGTCTCCTTCACAACATCCATCCTGAAACTTTATAAAAATCATTAAAAATTTTCTGGTCTCAAAACATTATAAGTAAAATTTGAATCAACTCCATTAAGCCCTCAAATTAAAATGATTTAATTACAGTGTGTCTGGGTGGCAATATTTATCAGAAGCTTTAACACAATCCAACTTTATCTTTTGATTCCTAACAGAGCTTTGCCCACAATAAAAGCTCAGGAAATGACAACTGTGAGAATCAAATGAATTAAGGATTCTGAAAGTATTTTGCAAAGTATTACGTTAACACAAGTTACGTGCGGATGCTGAACTAGACTAAACTAGGGCTCTCTCACAAACATCCCTGACTATCCTCAATAATTCAGGGCCCATAACGCGTAGCCTTCATCAGATTCCTCTTAAAACTCCCAAGCTAACGAGCTTCATAACCACTCACTGTGCAAGCACAGTCAAGCAGCCATCTGTTC